AACAAACACGGGGCAAAGAAAAGGATAGCGGGGAAGCCAGAGCAGATGGGATCAAACATCCCCACTGCCTCCCGGGCTGGTGACAGCTGGAGGGCCCCCAGGGGCAACACCACACTGGTCAATTCACTGGATGCTAAGGATTGCCGGGGAGGTTCCAGGCCTACCTCGCACCCCCACCCCCAGGAAGGGCAGGGGGGCCCCGTCCTCCTCCCCTCCCCTCCTCAAGGGCACATCCCCAGAACGAGCTCCAGCAGCAAGAGCTCAGAAGCAAGGATGAAAGCTGATCTCAACGCCCTTCCTGAATCCTCCTTTCCAAAACCATTTAGCAATAAAAGAGGGACCACGGCTGTTCCCAGACGGAGCCATGTTTCCCAAAGACTGGCTCAAGCTAAAGTCTTCCAACGAAACTACCGGGTTCGGGGGAAGTGAGATGCCCACATGAGAAGGCAGAGGCCCCAGCAGCATCCTGCAGGTGGTCTTCCCTGCCTCACCGGCAGCAACCAGGACTTCCTCATGCGTGGCAGGGATGTATTAACTGCAAGTGTCAGAAAAACATCCCATTAGCTTCTGGTGTAACTAGATAAAGCCGTGCTCTCCCTCTCCCCACCACGGGGGAGACGTTTACCTCGATGCTCTAGAAAGCTCTGTGTGCATTAATATTGCTGATGCGGGCAGCCTTTGCTTCGCCGGGGCCCCCCGAGGATGCCCTGTGATGGATTCCAGTTTAACAGCTTTTAAAAACAAGCAGACAAGAGACGGGGCGTGATGGATGGCGCGGGAAGCGCGCTCATTCGGGGATGATTTATGGGAAGTTGCATGTGGCAGTTCAGGGGTCCGTCCCCGGGGCGGGGTGGGGGGGTAGACAGATGGGTTCCTGTGTTGAAGCGGGGACAACGCCTGACGTGTGCCGGCTGCGCAGTTACAACGTTCTCACTGTCTGCCCCAACGCCAGAGTGTGGCAGCCCCTGCTTTCGGGCGCACACATGTCCCCAGACGTGGTCATTTTTAAATGAGCTTGTGGCCCAGCCCAAAGCCAGTCTTGAGCAGAAGGCTGAACTCCGGCTGCACTTCCTCCTCCCCTGCAGGCTTCAGGAGCACCCTCTGAGGTGCAGGAGGTCGGAGCAGAAGACCTTGTGTGTCTCTTAGCTCCAGGACAAAGGTGGCCCCCCCGCCCCAGAAACACCTAGAGAAGGAACACCCGGCGGCGGTACCCTCTGCTTCATCTAGTGACCCTGACACACAGCTCAGTGGTTCGGTGGCTTGGGAGGACTCAGGCAGTCAGGTGAGAATGGCAAGGGGGAGGGAGGGGACGGGGAGGGGCTGGGGCCGAAGAGCCAAGACGAGCACCATGAGTTTTTTCAGGGAACCAAGTGAGTGCCCCTCCCCGGCGACCCGCACCGCAGCACTGATCCGTCCCAGGCCTCCATCACCACACCAAGAGATAAATCTCATTTTGTAGCAGATTAATTTCCGTCCATGTTTTTATTAGGGACTCAGAGTTTACTATACAGTAAAATCCAAATTGAATCCATACTTAAAGGATTTAAGCCTTAAAATGGGATGTGATTTATGGGACTCTTTCCAAGGCCGAGGAGGGGAGCGCCCCCAGGCCCCCAGGTCCCCAGCGAGGACGATTCCGCAGCGACCGGACTGGACCGGGAGCTAGGCTGAACGGTCTGCATGCCCAAGGGGGTGGGACAGCCCCGCTCACCCGAGAAGCTCCAGCAGGTGCTCGCCTGCGAAGACCTTGCCCGTGGCTGACCCCGAAGCACTCTGAGGAGGCACCTGCCCAGTGACACGCCACCACCACAGAAGGTGTGCAGGAGCACCTCACAGCCTGGCTCTCTCCCTGGCTTCGCACCCCCCCCCCCCCGACCCCCATCCCTGGCCGGCTCTCCTCCTGCCAGCAGAGGCCCAGGTGCGCTCCACCCGGGAAGATGATGAAATCCCGGGGGAGGGCCCTCCACAGGGGGAGGGACTGGCTTGTCTGCTCCTCTCCCTTCCTTTCCAGACATCAGAGCCGGATGCACTGGGGCGCTCAGGGGTGGGTCTGGCTCCCTCTGGAGCCCCTGTCTGGGTCCCCTGGAGAAGAGTGGGGGGCACCACCACCGCCGCCGCCAGGTGGGAGGGTGTCTGCAGGCCTCAGGAGCTGGCACGCCCGACCACCACTCAGGGTGCCTGGCCTCCCTCTTCCCAGACCCACCACCTGCCCGAAGTGGATGGAAAGGCAAAATACAGCCCCGAGTCCTCTGCAGGCTTCAAACTGCTCGGCACAACTGGGACACCAGAGTCTTCCCCTGGTGCCTTCTCTCCCACCCTGACTTCCCCCCCTCACCCCCACCCCCCACCCCAGGGAGGAAGGAAACACGAACAACCTCTGCCCACTGCACAATTTCGGAGGGAGCCTTTGTTCAACCAACGAGGGGCTGGAAGGAGAGAAGCATGTGCAGGTGGAAAGCAACTTGCACAGGCCCCACTGAGCGCCGAATTCACAGGACTGCCATCACCCACCAGCCAGTCTGGTGCTTCTGGCTCCGACAACCCCAAAAACTGACCTTTTCACCTGAGGCCCTACAACCTCCTTCAGAGGAAAAGCCTCTTCCAAGGGTCACCTGCCCACAGGATGTCGGCGCTCTGCTACCTCCAGGGACAGCACCACATATGCTTGCTTAGAACCAGGGTCCTGAGATTTCAGGGATGGGGCATGACCGCAGGGTGGCCTGGCCCGCACGGAGGTCAGCCCCAAGCCATGCGTGCCCTCTAAGGGGACCCGCAGCACTGAAGGATTTAGAAGGTCCCGAGGGATGGAGACCTTCCGAACTATCACAGGGCCTGGCTCCCCTGTCCCTGTCCCGGTGTCTGACCTTCCTCTGCAGGCTCTCTAAGGGAACCCCAAGGTTCAGCAGTGGAATAGCAGTCATTTCAGCGTAGCAGGGCAGTTGTTTGAAATCCTCACCTCAAACACATCCACAGACCCACGCTTCTCGTTCTGGGGCCGTGGCACAGCCACCACTCCCGGGGACAAGCCCCAGCCTCCCTGAGGTGCCCTGTTTACACTCGGACTTCCCTCCCCATCTATTCCCCACACAGAAGGCAACGTCATCCACATCCAACTCAAATCTGGTGATCCAATCCCTTCTGTAGCTCCTACCATCTTTAAGACAAAAACCCCAAATCCTTATTCTTGGCCTAAAAACTTCTGAATTTAGGTGCTACACTTTCTACCCTGCTCCAACTTGGCCCTGGCAGGCCAGTTTTCTTTGCTACTTCTCCAGCATGCCTCAGGGCCTTTGCACTAGCCAGACCCTCTGCCTGAACCACTCTCCACAGGGCTCAGCTGGTTGCCACCCTTGCTCCCCTCAGCCGGTGCCCCAAGCAGTAGCCTCCGGGTCCTGCCCAGGACTGTCCCGGGGGAACAGCAGCCTCCACCACCCTCGATTGCCCTTGACCACCTTTCTTCAGAGCCTCAGCACTACCCGACACTACTCTACAGGCGCGTTCGTCCCACTAGCAGGTGAATAGTAAGGGCTTGGCTTTGTGTCCCCTGGGTCTCCCGCCTGCACCACAGGCTCAGTGCATCGGGGGCGCTCGAGGACGGCTGAATGCCAGCATGCGGCCCAGTCAGTGCACATCCACCCACCACAAGAAGCAGGCCCCTAACACCCCGAGGCAGGGAGCCCACTTCCATCAGGAAAAGGAAGTAAGCAGTGCACCCCCGGAGATGCCCCAGGCCTGGCAGAGAACCTCACTCTGTGCACTTGAAAGCGGGCACCTTTTGAGGGGTACTGGAGGGACCGGCCTGTGTCCTTGTCTCCTTGCCCAGAACTCTTATTGGCATCATTTGCTCCGCCCAGGGCAGGATCAGCACACGGTGGACTGTGGTGCGCGGGGTTAAAGTCCTTCTTGCCCGCCTCGGGTGAGCCCGACCCTCTGGTTTTGTGCAGCTTCTCTGCAGGGAGTGGGGCTGCACTGAGCTTCCTGGTGATGGGGTCCAGAACGTGTCTGGGTTTTGTCCCTGGTTCCAGGGAGGTAACCTCTAAAACCTCTGGAATTCCTGAGGGATGGGAGTGTGGTCTGTTATTCCCAGGTCTGGCTTCCTGCTGACTGGGTGGCTCAGGGCGGGTCCGTAGACACAGAGGCACCCATGGGAGAGCTGGTGCTTTGCCTTCCTGGGCAGTGGGGAGAGAGCGGGGCAGGAGCCACGGTCCAGCCTCGTGGCCGATGACATAACAGGACTCCAGTAAAACTCCGGACGTCCGAAGCTCAGGGAGCTTTGTGATGGGTGAACGCATGGACGTGCTGGGAGAGTGACCTGTCCTATCCCTACAGGGTGAGGGCAGACCTTGTCCCCATGTGTCCTTCATCATAAAAATGTAGCCGTCGATATGGCTCTTAAGTTCAGAGAGTCATTCTAGCAAATTATCAAAACTGAAGGTCATGAGGACTTGTAGCTGGTAGGTTGGAAGTGTAAGTGGCTCCCAAGGCTTGTGGCTGGCGTCTGAAGTGGGGCGGCCCTAAGGGCGACGGGCCCTGAGCCTATAGGGGTCTGCTGCTAACCCGCTGACCCCAGGGGGCTTCCTGCCACAGGTGAAGTGAAATGGAGCAAGCATGTAGCCTGCTGGAGGCATTAGAGCCGCTCGCTGGGCTGCAGGGAGATCTGGGCAGGGGAAGGTCAGACCCGGCCTCTGCAGCATTCTGTGCTGACACCACACAGACGTGACACCCCGTCCCCCTGCCTTCCCAGGGGACAACTCTGCAGCCAGGCTGAGGGATTTCACAGAGAGCAGGCCCTCCTTACAGATTCAGGCCAGCACGCCCCCCCCCCCCGGGGACCTGCCGACGCTCCCCATCCTGCCCCTGAGCCCACAAAAGACACAGACGGAGGTCCTCACATCACAGCAAGCAGGACGTCCCCACCCTGCCATTCCCTCGTGGCAATAAAACATTTTTCCATCGCAAATGCAGACTCTGAGGACTGTCCTGGCCGGCGGCGGCCTTACCTGGTAGTGGTGGGTGAGGCCTGCTTCACTGCAGCAGGGAGGCCTCCCACGGGGTTCTTTCTGGAACTTTCTCAGGTGGAAATTTGCTGAGAAATAGTGAGAATCAGCAGGAAAAGCTTCAGGTTCTCAGGGACCTGAGATTCTCAACCTGAGGGAAAAGAAAAGAAAAAGATGTAAACGCCTTTGAAGCAAGCAACCTCTTTTTGATATAAAACAAACATGGTGTGAGTAATCTAGAGGTCACTGGTGGCCACCAGGGGTCACACCCCAGGGGAAGGAGCAGAGCCTGCTGGGAAACAGAGCATTAGGATCCCGACGTGCCAAGGGGCAGGTGGACTCCCCCAACCCCTGCTGCGCGGTCAGCCCTCCCACCTCCCACCGTGGTGCCCCCTCCAGCTGTCCTTGGACCCCCCTCCCCCATGCTGGCCACACCCAGTCTGGTCGCGCCCCCGCTCACTTCCTGACTCACCCAGGACAGGGTCCAGGACTCCCCACAGCCACCATTCCCAAAACTCCCTGGTCTCTCTCTCTTTTTTTTTTTTTTAAAGATTTTATTTATTTATTCATGAGAGACACAGGGAGAGACAGAGGGAGAGACAGAGGCAGAGACACAGGCAGAGGGAAAAGCAGGCTCCCTGCAGGGAGCCCAACTCGGAACTCGATCCCGGAACCACAGGGTCACACTCTGAGCCAAAGGCAGATGCTCAACCCCTGAGCCACCCAGGTGCCCCCTGGTCCCTCTCTTTTTAAGAGATTCTCTGGGTGAGGTCACTCTCCTAACATCTCCCTCCAGCGGCGTCCTATGTCCCCGGGAGAAAACACCCAGGGTTGCAACAGTGGCCTGCGAGCCAAGTGAAACCAGGTTTGGCGACTCCGACACTTACACAATTTGGGAGGGGGCTAAGATTACAAAGGCAAAAATCAGCTGCAGGGTCTTGCTTCAGCTGTGGGCTCAGTGCTTCCTGGTCAATCCTCCTCTGCCCACGGGACCCTGAGCTGCCCCCGGGCCTCCAGGCTGCCCCCCCACACACACGCACACGGGCCTCCCCCTGCACCACACCTTTGTGCCTGTGTTGCTCGGGACCCTCCTCCCTGCACAACTGCCTGGCTTCTCCCTCCCTCCCTGGGGGCTCTGTTACACGGCACCCTTCCAGTGGCCAACCTGGAGCCGAACACCTTTCCAATCACAGCGGCTGCCCCTTGGCATCCCCTCCTCCTCTGCCCCATGAATCTCCCCGGGGCTGATCACATCTGCTACCACACAGACGCCTGAGGGCAGACACATGGGTCTGTCTTACTCAATACCCGTCCCCAGCGCCTAGACGGTGCCTGGCACACAGCTGGCACTCCCTCGGTGTTTGTCCAGTGAAGGAATGAAGGAACTGTCCCCTATGCACACATCAGGCTTCCGTAGGACACTATCCTACAGTCCCTGGAGTCAGGATTCCCAGGGAACCCAAGGCCACAGGTTGCTGCTGTTTGGAGTCAGGGTTGGGGGGGCACCTGGGCCTTGTCAGGCCTTTCTTTGCTTAATTCACACCAACCTGCGTGCACGCCAACAGGCAGGTAGGACCCCAAGACCATTCAGGGCATCCTCTCTGGCCAGCCCCCCAAGACCGGCTCCAGGGCAGAGCCCAAGGCGGGTTGGCTGGGGAATGGTCCCCCCAGCCTGCCTCCATGGAAAGGCTCCCACTGGCACATCCCCAGAAATCCCACAATGGAGCTTTAAAAAAGGAAAAAAAGAAAAAGACTACCAGTTTGTTTCTTTTCCTAAAATCCAGTTACTTAAAGGAGAACCACCCACATCCCAAATGGCAGGGCCAACCTCACAGGGCGCCGCCACCCGCACAGAAATGCCCGGGCACCACGGGCCTTTTCAGTGACCATCCGTGCCATGCGCAGCACCAGGAGCCGGGCACCGAGAGGATGGGAAGCCGCACTGAGCGCCATGAGGCCCCTTGTTGATGGGAAAAGCAAATGTGTGATCTGTTCTCCTAGGTCGGTGCTAACGGCCGTGGGAGAAATGGCTGGGGGAGGTGCCCAGGTGGAGGAAAGAGGAGCCCCTGTAGGGGCGGTTCCAGGTGGTGACCGAGCTGATGGGCAGAGGGCAGGTAGGTGGGCACTCGCAGAGCCAAATGCCTGCTCCTCGGCAGCCAGCACAAGAGGCAGGGGCTGGAACTCATTCTTCACCAGACCCCCTGGAACAGGAGCAAGGTGGACGGGCAGACAGCACCCCTGTACCCAAACCCAAGGAGGAGAGGTGACCAGGGACAAGGAGTAAAGACAGGGCGGGGAGAAGGGCCAGGAACCCAGAGAGCCCCCAGATCCTGCAGGGTGACGCCGTCACACCCCCCCCCACACACTCCCATGCTGGGCGCTCGGCACCCCGGCTCTGCATAGCCTCCCCAGGAGCGGTGCAGAACCCCCACAAGAGAGGTTATTTTCACTTTGCTGCACGGTGCACAGCCATGGCGCTCACTTCGATGGGGGAGCGTGGGCCATGGGGTCCCTGGGAGCAGATCAAGGCAGGGATGAGCAGCCCTGTGCTCCCCCCCCCACAATCCCGGGTGAGCTACCCTGCCCTGCCAGGCCTTGGGGCACCCGGGCGAGAGCCAGCCTCACCACTGGCCGGCTGCCCTTTATCGCCTTAAATGAGAGGTCATGTCCCAGCTTGGCCGGGAGTGCAAGCGCACGTTCGCTCCTACTCTGCAGGAGGAAACACCAGCCACCACCCACAGGGCAGAATCTGGGCCCCTGCCCAGGGGTTTTCTGGGACACAGGACTCACCCCAGTGCGGACTGGCCCCCAGCTGCCCCGGGGAGGGGCTGGTCCCACCTCCTTCTTCACAGAAGGCCAAGCAAGTAAGTAGCCATGGCGACTCTCAAGGCCCCAGGGCTGGCTCCGGGAAAAGGGAGGAGAAAAGAGCAGAAACCCCGTGAGGCTGCCGGCCTGCCCAGCTGAGGCCCAGGGTCAAGGCCATGACCTGCTGTCCCAAATCCAGCAGGGGAGGGAGCTGCGTCCCCTCCCACCCACCTCCCCCCTGCTGGGAATCACATTCACTGGTCATCACCCCCCCCCACACACACACACACACATACACGCACCAAGCACGGTGCTGCAGTCCCAGCCTCTGCCAGTGCCCAGCCCAGGGCCAGAGGCAGGCAGGGAGCCTCCAACGACTGGCATCTACGTCCACGTCCTTCCTGCTGCAGGGGGTGGGGACCCCCACACTGAGGAAGCCCAGGGCCAGTGGACACAAGGGTTCACTGGCAGCCAGGACCCTCCCCTGACCCCTCAACCTGCTTCTTCAGGATCCAACCCCCTGGCTTTAGTTGGGGGAGCCCTCAAAATAATCTGCAGGTGGGCAGAGGCTTCAGTTTCCCAGGAAGGCTGGACATAGGTGGTGGGGGCCCCAGGAGGATGAAGGACATGCTCCCAGGGAAGGCCTACCACGGGCAAGGGCAGGGAGCGGGCTGGGAAGGGCCAGTCTCAGGGCAGGTGTCTCCAGCCCATTCTCACCCCTCCTCCCATCCCAGCTGCCAGTTCAAGTCTCCAAGGCCCATGGCAGCCACGGAGCCGGCCCAGCTCCCTGCTTTGTTCCCAAGGGGGCAGAAGGCCTCCTGTTGGGATTCCTGCCATTAGGGAGAGAAGATGGAAACATAAACACTGGGACTTCTAGAAAGTGTCTTCAGCAAAAAAGTCATAATAATAATAAGCCAATACACAAATAGGCCCCGGGCCCAGCAGAGGTTCCTGCTACAATAGACCTGTGTGGACGGGAAGGTCCTCTGGCTGCCCGCTAACTCCAGCCCCGAGGGGGACTGGACTGAGAATCGGCCCCTTCATTCTTCCCTGAGGACCCCTGTCCTCTGCCCACCACAGGGCTCAGAGTGGGAGGGCAGGGGACCTCAGGAGGAGGAGAACTTGGCCAAATCATCATCATCATCATCACCATCACCATCATCACCATCATCACCATCATCATCATCATCACCATCACCATCATCACCATCATCACCACCATCATCATCACCATCATCATCACCATCATCATCATCACCATCATCAAAACAGGACAAAGCTTATCCCGTGAGGGCAGACCCAGGCTGGTGCCTCTCAGCACCATGTCCCTTGCCCCTGGCCAGGGCTGGCACACAGCAGGTGCTCAGCAGCACCCGTTCAATGAACAAGGGAAGGAAGGACAAGCCAAGTGTAGGTGAGCCCTGCACAGGCGAGGAACATTTCCTAGGTGACCTGACAGGTACTGAGTGGCCATAACCCCCACTCATGTGGGTCTGCTGATGCCCAGAGGTGGGGGGGAGGCCAAATAGCGTCGCATCCCCCAGGTGAACACCTGAGCCTGCCAGACACCCACATGCACGGCTTCCAGGTGGAGAGGGGCCCCGGCCACAAAGCGTCCACTCTGGCTTGTTTTCCACATCTCTGAAGAGAAAGGCACACCTGGACCTGAGGACACCTGGGCAGGCCAGGGATGGCAATCGTCCCTTCCAAGCAGGGTCATCTGAGGAAGTGGCTTCATGTACAGGATGCAAGACATGGTAACACAGAAAAGCAGAGACAACCGCCAGCACCCCTCATTTTACGCCCCCTCCCTGGGCCTGCGGCTGGCACACGGGCCCCGAACCCAGTCCAGGACTTGAACCCAGCGCCGCTCCTCGTTGGCCTAACATTCTGGTTCAAATCCCAGAGGGACTCAGGAATGGCATCAGCAAATCCCAGGGGACTCGACCCGCCCATCTAGGATGGGGCCTTTCTCCCCAAACCACACCTTTGCTGGTTCATTTCACTTCCCAGAGGAAGCTTTTCTGCGACTGGCTCTCCTGGCAGGAGCTAAAGGAAATCCAGAGGATTTGCCAATGAAACAGAAAGCAGGCGGGTAGCTCCCAGAGGGAGGCAGGGGGTGGGGCGCAGGTGACAAGTCGGGAGGTCCCGACTTCCTGCTGCCGGTGAGTGAGCCCCGGACAGCACGTGGCCGCGCTCAAACATGCTGTGCTGTAAACAGGAAGGTTGTCAAGAGAGCAGATCTCAGAACTCGTCGTCCCGGGAAAACGTGTGTGAACGTGGGTGTCACCCCACCCTACCGCGGTGACCTCTTCACAGCATGTCCATACGAGTCATTGTGCCACA